GGGGGGAGAGGGAACAGAGGTCCTGCTCCTGCCAGTTTTTTGGCTTCTTGATTCGTCACCTCAGCCTCCGGAAAGGGGGACGGCAGGTTTCTGGGAGCAGGAACCCAGGAGGCTCCGTGGAACTGAAGCGTGGCCTTGGGGTGTTTTAATTCGGATCAGCGAGCACCTTGGGAGGGGTGGGTGTGCATCAGGGGTGGGGGGAGGAAGGGAGCGAAGCCGACCAGTGTGGTCCAGTCTGGGCCCGAGCCGCCTTCCCTCAGGGGTTTGTCCCTCTGTTTGGTTTGCTGGGCCAGTCGTGTCCAGCGTGGGCTGGGCTGCCTTCCTCCCTGCGTGCCTCTCTCTCTCTCAAGGGCATTCTTGCCAACCCACAACAACACCTGTGACAGGTGTCTCTCTCTCTCTCTCTCTCTCTCAAGGGCGTTCTTGCCAACCCACAACAACACCTGTGACAGGTGGAGGTCAGAGAGAGAGGGAGGGAGAGAAGGTGTGGTGGAGAGAGAGAAAAAGACGGGGGTGGGTGGGGGGGTGGAGGCAAACCCGGCCAGCCCAAGTGGCCGAGGAAAGCCAGACCTCTGGCGAGATGGTGGGCCCCCGGACACGAGAGGCCTGCTTCTTTTGACGCCTCCAAGGCCCGACGACTCCTCTTCCGGCGGGCGAGCGGCGTCTCCCAGCCCCTGCGCTCCCCACCTAGGAGGCAGGCGCCCATTCAATCCAGGGGCTTCCTTCCAGGTGACAAGATTTCACTGCCCACCGCGGGCACAGAGGGGGCAGCCGAAGCAACAAAGGGGGGGCCTTTTCTAACCCTGTCATCCGGGACCTACAAGCCAACTTGCCTGCTTTCAACAGGACTTCCTCCCAAGTAAGCGTGGTTTGCAGGGAAGAGTCGGCCTGTTGCAGGAGGTGCGCGCGGAGGGTGGGGGGGGAGAGGCAGCCAAAGGTTATGTTTGTAGAGCTGGAATCCGTATTGCTGAGGATGTCTTCCACCCTGCTAGTTTGGTGGCTTGCACTCTGTTCTCCCTGCTGTTATGGATCTTTAAGATGTCTTGAGTCAAAAACAATAATTGATAGGTACTTTGCTTTTGTACAAATGCTGTTTCTTTCAAATAAAAATCACTAGAGAGAGAGAGAGGGAGGGAGGGAGGGAGGGAGGGAGGTCTGGCGTGCCCATTGGGGCTTGGATCCTGGCAAACATACCTAGGATTTAAGCCTTCAGGACGGCTGTACTAGTTACTCCTTTGTTTCAGAGAGGGTCATTCTCTGCCTTGTCATAAAGAACCGCAGCCCAGCCTCGTGGAAAGGGTCTCCTCCGT